GGGGAAAGAGTATACCCAAAAGAGTGCCATCTTTCTTCCTCGTCCCGCGCGCCGCCGAACCTTCTGTAGCTCAATTGGTAGAGCATGTGACTGTAGAGTCGTCTGGCAGTAATCACAGGGTCGCTGGTTCGATTCCGGCCGGAAGGACGCGTTTTCCCATCGGCCTCCTCCTTTTCTGCGTGAAGGAGGAGGCGGGAGAAAAAGTGCGATCAGTGAGGCTCGAACTCACGACCTTGGGATTATGAAACCCACGCGCTGCCGACTGCGCCATGCTCGCTCGCGCCCCGGGGCGGGTTCCTCCTTGCTTTCGGGAGCACGTTCCCCCATTTCCCCCGGCGCGCCGTCATTTGCGCGACGATGTCTTCCGCGTCGACGGTGGTCGTCTCCGGTGTGGTATAGTGGCTAGAACAAGCGGCTCTCACCCGCTAGACCCGGGTTCGATCCCCGGCATCGGAATCTTTTCCCGCCCTCTTCCTCATTCTTGGTTTTTTGTTTCCCACGCATTTAAACACACGTCAGTGTTTCACAAAGCGGTCCTCCGACGGCGCGCGTGCGTTAGACGCCGTGGACTATCCGGCGGCGACCCCGGCGTCACGGAGGAAGGGCTTCCGAGTCTCCTGAGGGGAGACTTGGCTTCCCGAGGCGCCGTGACCGCGACCGCGTCTCCCGCAAGGCCTTCGACAAGACACGCCTCGAACAGGCGCGGGTCTTCTTCTGGGAGGCGGCCGGGGGTTGCGACGTACACGCACCCGTCCGCGGGCCGCACTTCGGGGGGTGGCACCGCGGATCCGCGTGGAGAAGCGCGCCGGCAGGCTCGACGGGGCCCGGGGCTCTCGAATGGCGGCGTCGCCCAGCCAGCTCCCGGACGTGCTGCAGGTCGCTTCCCCCATGCCGGCGAATCCGGCCCGCGCAGAGTGGCGTGGGGAAACTTTGTTTCCCACGCCCTCACCCTTCGCGGCGCAGGGGCCGCGGCGGAGCCAGCGTGGCGGGCAAGTGGCTCTCCGCACCCAGCTCCGAACCCCAGGCGCCGCAAGCACGCACCCGGTGCCGCGCAGCAACGACGTCCGGAAGGTCTTTCACGGGCCACGGCGAATGCGCAGCCGGATTTACCAGGCGGCGCGGGGGGCCACGAAGAAGCGGCCGGCCGCGCTCCCACGACGCGGGCAGGCCAAACGCGACCGAGGTGGCCGCGTGTGCCCCAAAAAGGGGGATAACAACGCACGGCCCAGTAAGAAGCACGAGGGCCTTTCCCACGACGCGCAACGCGGCCCGCAGGGAGAGAGCGGGCGGGAGCGGCGCGCTGTGTCGCCGCCGGCGGGGAAGGGAGACGGGCGCGGGCA